GAGGATCTCTTACCTTAGACCTAAGATCTCCACCTTCTGGAACCCTGGCACATTTTTATAAACCTCCTCCATCTGAAATATGAAGAACACCAGAGTTCACATCTGAACCACCAGACCTGAGAGCATCCAGGGGCCAAATTCAGCTTTGAGGAGAACCAAGACCTCCCACCTACCATCACCTCACCCGATTCTGAAAGGATGTAGTGAATTCCATGTAGGCTTTGGAAGTGTTGTCATTGAGTTCAGGAGTGAATTCTTTGTTCACGGATACCTCCATGCCCACTTCAGCATCCACGGTATCTGCACACATAATGCCCTGCCCTTGTTACTTTACTGTCTGCATATTTATTACTTTAGCTCCACCCAGAGGCTCCTCCCACTTCCCTCTCTTTGTGTCCTGAGGGTTAAACAGAACAGCAAGAGAGAAATAGGAATTTCAACTGCATTGTCTTGAAATGAGAAAGACAAGGAAATTAAAGACACAACTCTGGTGGGCATCATGTCGTCCCTGCCCTAATGCTCAAACGTGAGAACATAATATGTTACATAGCAAGGGGAGGTGAAAAGTTGCAGATGGGGTTAAGCTGGCTAGTCAGCTGGCTTTTATATAAAAACAATTATCATAGATTATGTACATTAAGCCAATGTCATTATAAAGATCTTTAAAATGAAATGCATATAATGTCAGTGTCCACCAGAGGAAGACACAACTAGGGAAAAGACACAGAGAGAAATGCAACATAGCTGGGTTTCACAACTGAGAAAGATCCTTCAGGAAAAAAATGCAATCTCTAGAATTTACAAAGGGGAAGAAAATGGATCATTCTTTTACCTATTGCCTTAAAGTCACCTCAAGCTCACTGTGATCACATGTGTTACAGATTAGAGCTGATCAATAGAGTATTCTAGATTGCTATCTTTATGAAAGCAGAAGACTAGGATTTGTTCCCTGGTACCACAGCGTAGAATCAAACTGCCAGCCCTTAGATTAGCAGCAGATCATTAAAACATTTCTACCAGTCAGTTACTGGGTCTCCCTTTGTATCTCCAGGATGAAACTCAGGCTTGCAGACTCTCAGCTTTGGCCCAGTGAAAATTATTTTGGACTACTAACCTCTAGAACTGTAAGTTATTACATTTATGTTCTTTAAGATGCTGAATTTTGTTACACCTCCAATCGACAATGAAATCCCCTAAGCTGACATGGTGAGTAAGAGATTCCACAAAGGACTGTAGGTGAGTCAACTTGCTGAAGGTGAGTGTAGACAGAAGGCATATGGTGGTATGGCCGAAGAGATGGGAAGGAAGATAGTGAAGGATTAGGGTTGGGAAGGAAGAAGAAAAACATGGCGTGCATGTCTACAAACCAGAAAAGGAGTATCTCAAGAAAATAGAGTGGAGGCTTGTAAGGGGCTGGTAGCTTACCCAGAGCCATCTGTTCGCTGGGAAACTCGCACAGGGAGCCATAGAAGGTGCTGGGGCAAATGCACTTGACACCATCCCACTTGCCACCATTTAGGCACTTGTTCTCAAGCTCACAGTGGTCACCAGAGAAACCCGAGGGACAGACGCATTGACCACCTTCCAGTTTTCCCCCATTGATACAAATAACTGTAAAAGACACGGAAAAAAAATTAAGGTTCAGGGAGGGACAGGGTTGATATTTGTGGCAAAGAGACTTAGCAAGGGAGAAAGGAGCCAGACGAAAAGAGGACAAACCTGGTGTGGTGGTAACTGTTGACTGTGTTGTCATCTGAGTAGTGGTGGAAGTTGTTGTAGGAGAAGAATGACTGGTAGGAGTCTGACTGGTGGCAACAGATGTCTCAGGAGTCTTCAAAGTAGACGAGGTGCTATATATAGATTGGCTTGAAGTCATGATGTCACTTGGATGACTACTACTTGAATGTGTACTGAGCAGGGATGTAGTGAAACCAGAACTATGTGGGGTGGTAACAGAGTCGGTACTGGTCAAAACCCCACTACTGGTAGAAGAAGAAGAAGATGTAATAATACGAGAAGTAGATAAAAATGTTGATGAAGATGTGGTTGCAGTAGAAGTCACATCAGCATCAGTACTAAAATCAATACATGGATCAGTGGTAGATGAAGAAATTATAGTAACTGGTACAGTTTCTGGGCATGGCGTTGTGGAATAAATTGTAATGAAAGTAGTAGTTTCTGTAGAAGTGCCTATAGCAGATGATGTTGGAGAAGTACTTACAGTAACTAAAGAAGAAAGAGTGGGAACAATAGTAACAACAGAGCTTCTACCTTTGGTACTTGAATATGTTGGAGAGGAAAGAACACTACTGGGTGGAATAGAAGGAGTAGTGGCAGGTGTACTGATAACAGTTGCAGTTGAAGAAATGCCTGATGTGCTAAGTGTAAAAGAAGTAGTACTTGTGCGTGAAGGGGTGGTGGACCTAGAGAAAGAGGTGGCTACGGTGGTGGTGGGTGTGGTGGTGGTGGTGGTGGTTGCTGGTGTGGAGACGGTCTCTGTGGTAGCCGTGCTCGTCGTGCTGGCCGGCGTTGAAGTGGGAACGGTTGTCGTGAGGGTCGCAGTAGAGGTAGGTGGAGCCGTACTTGTGACGGTACTCAAGGTTGTGAGAGTGGGTGTGGTGGAGGTGATGCCAGTCGTGCTCACCGTACCCGTAGTACTTGTGGGTGAAGGGGTGACAGTGGTAGGGGTCTCCGTGGTCAGGCTGGTAGTAAGCGAGGTCGTGGGAGTGCTGGTGGATGTCACCAGCGTCGTGGGGGAGGTCGTAGGAGAGGACGTACTTGTCAAAGTGGATGTGCTCCCTGTGGGCGTGGTGTGCGTGGACGTGACGACCGTGGTGCTTGTCAGAAGAGGCGTTGTGGTGGTTCCTGGGGTTGTGGTTATTTCCGTGGTCGTGGTAGTGTGCGTTTCGGGAGTTGATGGCGTGGAAGCCGTGGGTGTGGTGGAAGAAGTGGTGGTTGGTGTCGG